GGGCCCATCTGTCCAAGTTATTTTTTATTTTATTAGTCATAGAACCATAATTTACTTTGTATATTTTGTTTAAATTTTTGGTAATATTAACACCTAAATATTTCATGATTTTTGTTTTCCAGTTAAATTTGAACCGATTACTTATATCCTCTTGGGGGAGTAATTAAAGCAGAGGGTCTGAGTTTTTCAAATATTTAATTTATAACCYGAATAAAGTCCAAATTGGTGGAGGCAGGACACGAGGTGAGGTAGACTGGCATCTGGGTCAGATAAGGTCACCAGATCACCATCGGCATATAGACATGTTTTGTATTCTCTTCCCTTAAATATGATTCCCTTAATTTCTGGGTCTTCCCTAATTTTTTGAGCAAGTAGCTCTATAAAGAGTGCAAAGAGAATTGGGCTCAGAGGGCATCCTTGTCAGTATCCTCGTAAGCTGCGCCCTGTTTGAGACACGAGGGCCTGATGTGCACCTGTTAATCTGGCTCAGCTCTACCTGTGATCTCCACTCCTTTCTTATAGGAGCCGGGGTAGCCGGAGCTGGCCATGACCACAGTGACTGCAGAGCTGTCCTGCTGCCACAYGGGGGGGTTGGAGGACAGTTTTCCATTCATAGTGTTTACAATCACCTCATACAGGTCACTCTGCAGCAGAGGCAGCAGCACCTGAAATGAAACATTTCATGTTATTAAAAAAAAACTGTTCTAATGTTTGATGAGAGCCAGTGAAACCCACCTGACACTCTGGATCTCCAAATCGACAATTGAACTCCAGAACCTTTGGACCCTGCTTTGTCAGCATCAACCCTGCATACAGCACACCTGAGCAAACAGAAACAAACTTTAGTTTAACTAATAATGATGTGGTTACAGCAGAAACTCTGAATTCAAAGGAAACAGCTCTTACCCACATAAGGAGTTCCTTCTTCCTTCATCCCGTCCACAGTTTTCTGCAGAACTGTTTCTCTGATCTGTTGCAGCAGCTCCTGACTCACCTGACAAACAAACAGCTTTAAAACTACAGAAACTAAACAATTACTTTGTTGTAGCCTCTGGCTGCACAGATGTACCTGAGGAGTTGGGCAGTAGGCTCCCATACCACCAGTGTTTGGCCCTAGGTCCCCATCCTGGAGCCGTTTGTGATCCTGAGCCGGAGGCATCGGAGCCACGGAGGTGCCGTCAGTGAAACACAGACACTAAAACAACCACGGGGGGAGAAGTTACTGTAACAATTCAAGTTCACCGACAATCATATCTTAAGATATAAACTTCTCTCACCGACACCTCCTCTCCCTCCAGAAGCTCCTCCACCACCACAGTCTCTCCTGCAGATCCAAAAGCTTTGTCCTTCAAAGAAAGAAAACTGCTGAGATCAGATAAAGTTTAGGACAGAACAATATCCCAGCGGTTATTTATTTATCTGTAGAAAAACTTTTCTGCAAGTTTTTTTGGCACACGATGGGCTGGATGCTGGGAAAACAGCTTCCTGTCCGAGTCCCAGACAGAGAAGCAGCTGAGAGACTTGCTGCCAACTCCTGAACACKCAGTGAGGTGGGAGTCTGACTGGGAGTTTATCCATGATTTTGTTGTTTGTGCAGAATCAGATATTTCTTGACCGTCTGGTGGGGCCTGGGCTGCGGGCGGACATGGGGCTTGGAGGGGCTCCGGAGGCAGGGCTGGCGCTCTGGCTTCCCTGGGGCTGTTCGGGCTCCCGGAGTCTGGCTCCTGGTTGCTGTGGTTGGCCCGCTGGCTGGGATGGCTGCTGGAGTCTGGGGGGTGGTCAGTTGGGGGTGGACACCTGGCCGTTGGTAGGGTGTGGGGGTGGTCCGGGGCGTAGCTT